CCAAAAAAAAAAAAAAAAATCCAAACGACGACAGCTAACAAAGAGATGGAGATAAGAGCTGTTCATTTTGGAGTCATTCTTGAGAGGGAGTGGTATCTGCGAAAACTACGAGCGCTTGAGGTACGGTTTCACTGCTTATGCTGCAGATTTTCGTTTCATGTTGCTACCATTTGATCATGTTCGTATCATGCAGATTCTCGTTTCATGTTTCATGTTGGTCATCATATTGACTGATTGTCGATGTGCTGAGGGTGTGGGAAAGTGATGCATGTGCACAGGCAAGTTGTATCAAAGAGCCAGGACTGGGAGCCACAGACACACACACACACACACACGGGGGGGGGAGAGAGAGAGAGAGAGAGAGAGAGAGAGAGAGAGAGGCCATTGACGTGCTTTGTCTGCTCGATCCTTTGTGTTCGACGTTTGCAACCTTGGGGAAAGTTCTGTAGGCTGTCCAGAGACTGTACCCAGTGCGGAGCGGGTGGTGATTTTGTGGAAAACGAGAAGGAAAAAAAAAACGCGAATTTTGCGGTTGGGGTGCGGTCTTGCTAATCGTGAGTTCGTTTCATTTCATTTTCCGGCCCGTGTGGCAAGGCCCTGTGTTTTGAAGGTTAAAAAAAAAAAAAAAAAAAAAAAAAAAAAAGTTCAGACTTCAAATTTCAAGACCGTTTGGTGATGTTTGGTCTGCTTTGCTGCTTGATTTTTTTTTATTTTTTTTTTTTGGAAACAAAAACATGAGCTTTATATGTTACAAAAAATGATCGAGGCCAGGGTCCTCACAGCAATTCAACCCCCCTTTGCTTTCGTATCTGCTTCTGCAGGATGTTGTGGGCCCTCCGAGAGACGTGGACGTTCTACGTGAACCTGGGGGAAGTGAGCAATCGGCGACTCTTGCATTTGCCGGAGCGGTGCGGAGTATTCTGTACGAGGATAGCGACGATTTCAGCCTCGTTGGCGCAAAATGGTGACAGCTCAGCACCTTCACCGCCGCTTCCACCTCGCCCACGCTGTGCCAAACGTGTTGCCACGTGGCACAAAATCACAGCCTAGATTGCTCTTGTGAGTTTTCACCGTGGACTAATCAATCTCCTCTTCCCGCCCACTTGCACCTTGTTCTTCTTCTCTCTCTTTTCTTTTCTTTTTTTTTTTTTTCTTTTTTTTTTTTTTTTTGGTCCATTTCTCAGTAATTCAAGCGGATCCTCTGCGATCCACCATTCATTCATCCTTGTGCAGGGGCCATGGTAATCTTCTCCGCACCACACCGTTTTTCACAGATGCCCCCACCACTCTGTTTTTTTTTTTCTGTTACTCCTCTGCTTCCACTGGAGTTTGAACTCAGCACCTGGTCTCTATTTCAAGAGTGTTCAGGCAGGGGTGTTCCAACTGAGCCAGGCCAGTTGGTGGAGATGTCCCCACTGCCATGATTTCGTCAAAATGGACATGTTTTATTTTTTGAACGAAACTGAAACCGAGTTTTTTGGCCGAAAAGTAGTCCAAATTTGCTTGCTCCCGAGGGTCCCGCATTATTAAAAACGCTGGACCCGCTGGATGTATGTGTGTGGACTTCGCTGGAGACGAGAGACATCCAGGCGGGACCCTGGAGACCTGTGCTACCCAATAGATTGCCAGGCCATTATCACTGTATCTATACTGCAAGTTGCGGCAAATACAGCGATAATGACCGGGTGTTCGATTCGGGTCACAACAGGAGGGCTGCAATGGGTGTGGTATGCTAGCGGCAACCGCGCACTCAGGGAACTTCAGCTGTGCCTCGGCAGCTGCGTCTGCATCTGTGCTGCGGTGTGTACAGTTCAGGTCCAGGGCTTAGGTGTAACTGGAGCTGCTTGCTGCAGCGGAAATTGACGCTAACCGTAGCTGTGTTATGGTAATGGCAGCTGCGCTTTGGTAACTTGACTTGTGCCACAGTAACTCCGTCTGCGCTGCGGTAACTGGAGTTAAGCTGCGGTAAGTGGAGCTCGTGTGTGCTGCTGGATGCAGCCGTGCTTGGGTACCGTAATCGTAGCTGTGCTATGCTAACCGCAGCCACACTCTGCTAACTGTAGTTTTGTCACTGTAACTGCACTCGCACTATGGTAAGTAGAGCTGTGCTACTTGCTGCAGCTGAGCTTTCGTAACATAACTGTAGCTCTGCTATGCTTTGCTGTTCGCAGCAGCTGTGATTATGTACCTGAATTGTAGCTGTCTCTGCATTTTGGTAACCATACCTGTGCTACGGTAACTGCAGCTGCGCTCCCGTAACTAGAGATATGCTCTCTGGCAACCACTGGCTGTGCTATGGTAACTGCAGCTGCGCTTTGGTCGCCGGAGATATGCGCTTTGGTAACCATTAGCTGTGCTACGGTAACTGCAGCTGCGCTTTGGCAACTGGAGATATGCGCTTTGGTAAGCATTAGCTGTACCATGGGTAACTGCAGCTGCGCTGCTTTGGTAACTGGAGATACATGCTTTGTTAACCATTAGCTGTACGATGGTAACTGCAGCTGCGCTTCCATAAGTGCAGATATGCGCTCTGGTAACCTTTAGCTGCACTTAGGTAACTGGAGATATGCGGTTTGGTAACCATTAGCTGTACCATGGTAACTGCAGCTGCACTTTGGTAACTGGAGATATGCGGTTTGGTAACCATT